ATGGAGCAGATGAGAACTCTAGACCCAGAGAGGGAGAGGGGCTGTGTGCTGATGACCAGGGGGCAGGCTTGTGGGGTGTACCCTTTGGTTGGTTGATGATGCATGGAGGGGATTGTAACCACGGCAATGAAACGATATACGATATACGATAGGATGGATATAAAATTAATGCTCTCCCTTGTAAACTATCACTTAATTCACAATAAAACATTAAAAAAAAAAAAGAAGAATGTTGTTTATCAATGGTGAGGAATTTTGTTTTCTTTACACTGAGATGCAATCCATACCAAAGGCTGTGCTCTTTGATCTTCATCAGTTAAGTATTTTAAATCCTCTTCACTTGCAGCAAGCAAGGTTGTATCATCTGCATATTGCAGGTTGTTAATGAGTCTTCCTTCAATCCTGATGTCATGTTTTTCTTCATAGAACCCAGTTTCTTGGATTATTTGCTCAGCATACAGGTTATATTGATCTAAATCCTGAACTTCTATTTAGCAACGTGTAGATAAATTCCTATTCAGGATAAACCAGTTATAGAAATGAAAAGAAGAGCCATATTATCACCAAATTATAATTCTTGTTATTGTTGTTGTTAAGTGCCATCGAGTCGGTTCCGACCCATAGCGACCCTGTACAGGGTTTCTAATGCCATCTAATACATATGAATATGAACATTATTTTCTCCTTCAACTGAAAATTTTTAAAAAAGGTCCCCCATCTTTTTTCAAGTAAAGGCATACTTAGCTATGTTCTCTTTCATGTTAAAATTCAGAGGCAGTACTAATAGTATTTAAGCTAGTAGAATAAAAAGATACATATTTCCTTCTTAACTCTTTACTCAGATCCACCAGGTGGCAGTAATCACAGTTCATGAAGATTCAGCTTTTGTAAAAACTGTAAAATTGTAGCATGTTAGAGATGGTTGACTTAGATTCCACCCCTCAAACTCCCCCATTCACACACACACACACACTCACACACACACACACACTCTATTATAGAAAAGCCTCATACCTGCTACCTCTATATTCTTTTTTTTTTTAATTTAACAAATATTTACTTAGCACTTACTATTTGTCAGGATACACACTTGCCCATATGCACACACACACACACAGAACTCCTGGTGTGATGCTGTAGGATATACATTGGACTGTGAACCACAAGGTTCTTCTCGAAACTTCTATACAGGAATTCCATGAGTTGGAATCAACTTGATAGCACTTAACAATAACGTATATTATATAGGCTATGGTTCAGACTAAATCTGAAATTTTAAAGCTTGAGGGACTTAAGCAATGAAGTAATATTATTATCGGAGGTCTTAACTTACAAGGAACAATATGGTTGTTCTTGGGAGAAATGACATTGTTGACAATGGTTTTAGTTGTTGTAAGTCAGTTCTGACTCAAAGTGATCCTGTGTATAACAGTATGAAATACTGCCTGGTTCTACTCCATCCTCAGGAACACTGCTATGTTTAAGACAGTTGTTGTATTCATTATGTCAATCCATCTTGTTGAGGGTCTTCTTTTTTCAGTAACCCTCAAGATGTCCTTCT